GTCTATCTGGAGAATCCCCACAAAGGAGCTCCCACACCCCCTCCTGGAATCCAGACTTCATTCAGATTCTTGCTTCTTAAAATTATTCCAACACCTTCCTAAGTAGGAACGGGAAGCTTCTTCCAGGGAATGTATTTTCGTCATCTGGCGCCTCCAACAGGAGCCCAGCTTCCCAACCCGAGCTCCTCCAGGCCCAAGTTCCTCCTGGCGGGGTTTGTTTTCCTTGCTGGCTGGGTGGTGAGGGAGGGATGGCCTGGACACCTCGGGTTTACTGCCAGTGTTCAGACCGGGAATGCGATCACGCAGCTTTCCACCTCTTGCAAAGACGCAGCCCTTCCATGGCCATAGCGGTCCTGAGTGACCGTCCTGAGTGACCTGCTAGCACGTAGGGTCCTAGGAGCACTCAGGGAAGAGGACTCTGCCATTTATTCACAGCTTACCTTCAGGGTAGGATCCCGTCTGGGTCCCTGACAGGACTGCAGAGAGGCCATTTTGGAGGATGGGCCTCTCTGAACCTCAGTTTCCTCTTCTAGGGTGGTTATAGAGGTCAGATCTTATCAGAGGTCTTAGGGAGGGCCCATTTTTACCTCTGGACCCTGACTAGTCTGTGGGTAGAGAAGCCTGAGAGCCTCCTGGGTAGGTGAGGGTGCCTACCCCGAACTGAGAAGATTCTGAAAGCCCAAGAGGAGCCCTGCTTTGACTTCCGCGTCTGCCCAAAGCCTGGAGACGGGCAGTTCTCAGGGCAAGGCCAGATCACTTCACCCCCACCGCCTCGTAGGAGGCTCGGCCCAGGTGTCCACCAGGGTTTACGGCTACAGGGGAGGGGGAGAAATACTGGGGTTTTCCACCTCCCTCCTGCCCCTACACCCAGCTGCTCACAAAGAAAGGTGGCCTGAGGCAGGGAGCGCTGACGGACAGTGTCGCTCGGCTGGGAGGGCCTGGGTCTGCCGACTAGTGAGGACGGGCAGCGACCCCACACGGTCTTTGGCTCTCACCTTCACAAACGTGGCCTCCAGGCTAGCGTTGTCACCACGGGGCGCGACACAGTGGTCCTGCTGGTTGGCCAGGCTGATGCCCGTGGCACAGTGCAGCTCCTCCAGCTGGCTGTGGCAGCACTGCTCCTGTACCATCCTGTGGGGGAGGGGTGGGCTGGGCCAAGGCTCTGTGGGCAGGGGGCCCGGGGTACGAGGTCCTCGGGGGTGAGGGTGCTCTCACATTTGAGCCTCCCCTTCCCTGCTCCCACAGACACACAGAGAGAAACACAGTGCCCCAGTGTCACACAGAAGGAGCTCAATTAGCATTTAGTTAGAAAGGTTTGGCCGGGCACAGTGGTTCACACCTGTAATGCCAGCGCATTGACAGGATGAGGTGGGAAGACCAGTTGAGCCCAGGAGTTTGAGAACAGTCTGGGCAACATGGTAAGATCCTGTTTTTTTCTTTCTTTCTCACTTGTTTTTTTGAGATGAAGTCTTGCTCTGTCGCCCAGGCTGGAGTGTAGTAGTGTGATCTCGGCTCACTGCAGCCTCTGCCTCTCAGGTTCAAGTGATTCTCCTGCCTCAGCCTCCCCAGTAGCTGGGACTACAGGCATGTGCCACCACACCTGGCTAATTTTTGTATTTTTGTAGAGACAGGGTTTCACTATGTTGGCCAGGCTGGTCTGGAACTCCTGACCTCAGGTGATTTACCCACCTCAGCCTCCCAAAGTGTTGGGATTACAGGGGTAAGCCACCGTGCCTGGCCTCTTTTTTTAAAAAAAAAAAAAGACAGAATGCAGCATGGTGTCTGGAGTCAGAGCCAGGAGGCCCAGTTTTGTCTCCAGAGCAGCCATGTCACTCCTCTGAGCACTAGGCTTCACCCGCAAAATGTTCCTGCTGATTTGAAAACCAAAAAGTGGCGGGGGGCTGACTCTGGGCCTGACCTTCCATCCCTTTATCAGGTCGAACTCTTCTCAGTGCTCATCCATATTCCAGGCTCAGAGCAAACAGCTTCTGAGAGTCCTGTGGGGTAGCCTGCCCAAGGCCCCAGAGGGAGGGATGGGCGCTGCAATGGCACCTGGCTGCACAGCCCACGCCTCCCAGCCGTGCCGGGGCTCTGGGGAGAGGTCCTCGACCTGCCAAAATCAGCTTCTCTGACACAACCACGAGGCTGTGACAGCTAGGGGCTGGTGTGGGCGGGCTCCAAAGGCAATGAGCAGAAGAGGACTGTGTCACCGGAGAGTCACCCAACCCGTGCCTCCAGGAGAGAGGGTGGGAGCCTCCCCAGCTTCCCTGCACTGCCAGCCAGGTCACTTCTGCACAAAAATGGCAGCTGCCAGCGCACCTTCCCCCAACCTTCCCTGGGGCACTGGAGGTCTGCACCCGGCTGCCCGTGCGTCTCCAAAACTGCCTTTAGGCTCCGGGATGGAATTACCGAGCTGAGCTAGCCCACGTTTCACTCATGCTTTTGGTGGATTTGCAAATAACAGGCATTTCACGAAACTGCCAGAGCGAGCCACTAGACGTGCATGCATCCATTCAAAAAATCTTGGCTGGCCAGAAAATCACAAGTGTTGGTGAGGATGTGGAGACATTGGAACCCGTGCGCATTGCTGGTGGGAACGGAAAAGGGGCAGATGCCGTGAGGCACAGTTCCTCACAAAATTAAAAATCGAATAATCATAGGACCCAGCAATTCCATTTCTGGGTATATATCCAAAGAACTGAAGCAGGGTTTCAAACCGATACTTGCACACCCATGTTCACAGCAGTTTGTTGTTGTGTTTTGTTTTGTTTTGTTTTGAGACGGAGTCTTGCTTTGTCACCCAGGCTGGAGTGCAATGTTGCAATCTGGGCTCACTGCAACCTCCGCTTACTGGGTTCTAGTGATTCTCCTGCCTCAGCCTCACGAGTAGCTGGGATTACAGGCGCCCACCACCATGCCCAGCTCACTTTTTATATTTTTAGTAGAGATGAGATATTGCCATGTTGGCCAGGATTGTCTCAAACTCCCGACCTCAAGTGATCTGCCCGCCCCAGCCTCCCAAAGTGCTGGGATTACAGGCGTGAGCCACTGCGCCCGGCCTTACAGCAATATTATTTACAACACCCAAAAGGTGGAAGCAATCAAGTGTCCCAGGCACCTCAGGGTGTCCGGCTGCCTCAGGCTCACCCCCAATCCCCCTGGCCTCTATCTCACGGCCCCCTCAGCCACCTGGTTACCCTTGTATCTGGTGCTTTCTCCTTGGGACTGGCTCTTGCTGACTCCACTCCAGCCACCCTGATCCCCTTGCTGTGCTGCCCAGCACCTGCACACCCTCTCCTCTGGGCCGTTCCCTCCGCCTGGGATGCTCTTCCCACTTTCTATACTGCCCACTCCCTTGGCCATTCAGGTCCTGGCACAGTGAGGCCAACACCACAGCTCTAAAATTGTAAACCCGCCATGCAGAAGCCCCATCCCTCCCTGTTTCCCTCACGGCACACCCTGCCTTCCCGCAAACCATCAGACTGGCTTATGACTTCCTTTGCAATCGGCATCCCCTGTAGAATGCCACCTACACGAGGTCAGGGGACTTTGCATATTTCGTTCACCGATTTATCCCCACTCACCAGAACGGAGCCTGGCACCTAGCAGGCCCTCAGTGAGATTTGCAAGATAAAGAAGGGGTTAGAGAAATGCTGGGCTGGAAAATGTCAGCTTGGGATCTGCTTTAGGTTTCATTGGGTGTGTTCAAATTCCTCCAAAAGACGCTGAAGGGCATGTGGGTTTAACCTAATCCAAGGTTTTAGGTGGATTTAGATCTGGATCCCAAGGAATGTCGGGCCTTGGTGGAGACCTAGAGTCAAGATGATACATGATGGGAAAACATCAAAGCTGCCATCTTCTGACCAGCACAAACGTGTCCTTGTTGAAGCTGCAGGCTGCTTAACCCCTGCTTGGCCAGAGCCCACGGCTGTAGAGAGGTCGGCCTCTCCCTGCTGTCCTCTCTGAGCCTCTCACCCACTCGGGGAGCTGACACCCCCTCCTTTGGGCCCCGCGGACCCTCAGGGCCTCACACCCTCGACTCTTGCCCAGGAGGGCTGGCCTGGGCTCTCCTGCCCCTGGCTTTCATCCTGCCTCTTTCTGAGCATCAAGAGCCGATACAGCTTTGTCAAATGAACAAAAACTGATTTTACTTCAGCTGGTGAGCCTCACAGGACGCCACTTCAAAAGAAGAGAACTCGGCTGGGCGCAGTGGCTCACACCTGTAATCTCAGCACTTTGGGAGGCCGAGGCATCAGATCACTTGAGGTCAGGAGTTCGAGACCAGCCTGGCCAACATAGTGAAACCCCGTCTCTACTAAAAATAGCAAAATCAGCCGGGTGTGGTGGCAGGCGCCTGTAATCCCAGCTACTCGGGAGGCTGAGGCAGGAGGATCGCTTGAACCCAGGAGGCGGAGGTTGCAGGAAGCTGAGATAAATCCTGACTGCATGGTCTCCCAGTCAATTCAAGCCACGCGAGTTTCCTATTTTCCTTTGTTTGCTCTATAATGCTTTCGACTTTTCAAGAATTTCCTTCATCAGGATCTACGTTCTTCATCACGCGGGAAGGCAGCAGCCCACGCACACCCCGGCACAAACGCAAATCTCCGGGATGAGGCCGGCGAGCCGTCCCCGTGCATTCTCTCCGTGACAGCTCTCCACCCCGCGCCCCTGGCTCCAAGCATCACGGCTGCTTAGACTCGGACTTGAGGCAGAGAAAACAAATGGATGGCAAATGCTGGCTGCTTCCACAGCCTCGCCTCCCAGGCGCGTACCCCGAGTTCAGATCCTCACATCATTGCTTACCAGCTGGACACCTGGGGAAAGCCTGGTCTCCTGCTCTGTCAAATGCGTTCATAACAAAGTTCAATGAGATAATGTACATCAAAGGCTCCAAGGCCGGGCGCGGTGGCTCAAGCCTGTAATCCCAGCATTTTGGGAGGCCGAGACGGGCAGATCACGAGGTCAGGAGATCGAGACCATCCTGGCTAACAGGGTGAAACCCCGTCTCCACTAAAAAATACAAAAAACTAGCCGGGCAAGGTGGCGGGCACCTGTAATCCCAGCTACTTGGGAGGCTGAAGCAGGAGAATGGCATAAACCCGGGAGGCGGAGCTTGCAGTGAGCTGAGATCCGGCCACTGCACTCCAGCCTGGGCGACAGAGTGAGACTCCGTCTCAAAAAAAAAAAAAAAAAAAAAAAAAAGGCTCCACATAAAGCAGGTGCTCCAGATGCTTGCTGGGGTTTTCACTATTATTTTTATGATGATGATCAGCGTGACCTAATCTCATCATTTATTCTTTTTTTTTTTTTGAAATAGAGTTTCGCTCTTGTTGCCCAGACTGAAGTGCAGTGGAGCAATCTTAGCTCACTGCAACCTCCGCCTCCCAGGCGAGTCTCTGGCCTCAGCCTTCCAAGTAGCTGGGATTACAGGCACCCACCACCCATGCCTGTCTAATTTTTTTTGTATTTTTAGTAGAGACGGGGTTTCACCGTGTTGGCCAGGCTGGTCTCGAACTCCCGACCTCAGGTGGTCCACCCACCTGGTCCACCCACCTCGGCCTCCCAAAGTGCTGGGATTACAGGCGTGAGCCACCGTGCCCGGCCTCTCATCATTTATTCTAAGCTTACATGGTCTCAGAATTTTCAGAGAGCTGGAGTCAATGTAGGGAGAGAAGAATAAAAACGGTCGATCCAGATGTTGGTTAGTGCTGAAGGTGAAAAACCGGCTGGTGAAACACTTCACTCTGTGCCGGCTCCCCGGCATTTTGGGGGTCTGTAGGTGGTCCGTGTTTCCGTTCACAAGGCTCTTTAGTCACATCATCTCCTCTGCTCCCCCACAACTGTCCCCCCTTTTTTTAAATCCATCCAGCCCGGATGGATCCAGGCCTGGGTGTCCAACCTCTCCCGAGAGGTCTGGCACACACTGTCCTTTCCTCCCCCACTTTCCTCTAAAGGAACACTGTTCCAGTCAAACAGTGGCCACTGGCAAACGTACCTGCATTCTTTGGATTCCGTGGCATATGGCAGCGAGCAGTCCTTCTGATTAGTGGCCATTCGCTGTCCATCTGCACAGCAGGCCTCCAGGAGGACATCCGCATCCACTGTGCAGGGAAGAGAACAAGCTGAGAGGTGGCTCACCACTCAACGGGCGGCGGGCCCCTCCCAGGTGCACCACCAGGACATGCACATCCTTCTAACGACAGCATCAGGCTGGGGGCACATCCCTTAGTCACTCTTGCAAACCAGTACTGAAAGCCCCACCAGGCCCCAGCTGGGAGCCCACACCCCACTCCTTCCTAGAAGAAAGGCCTGAATCCTCCCCTGTCTGAATCCAACTGGGACAGGGCTGCGGCTCAGCCCTGAGATCCAAGCACACATGATCCCTGCTCCAGTCACACGCTGGAGATGCTGATGCCGCCCCTGTCCAGACTGCTCCAGTCACACGCTGGAGATGCCGATGCCGCCCCTGTCCAGCTGGGTCCCTGCCTTCACAGTCCAGCGGGCAAGAAAGCCCTGCTGACAGAGGCAGGGCCACGCCGCCGGCCCGCCCAGCCCAGCAGGTCAGGGAACAGCCGACACCACTCTTTCCAGAGGAGAGACTGCAAACAGGGAGGGGGCTCAAAATGCAACGAGCTGAGTCAAGTAAGAGTCTCTCGCCCAGACTGGAGCGCAGTGGCGCGATCTCAGCTCACTGCAACCTCTACCTCCTAGGTTCAAGTGATTCTCCTGCCTCAGTCTCCTGAGTAGCTGGGATGACAGGTGCCCACCACCACACCCGGTTAATTTTTTGTATTTTTAGTAGAGATGGGGTTTCACCATGTTGGCCAGGCTGGTCTGGAACTCCTGACCTTGGGTGATCCACCCGCCTTGGCCTCCCAAAGTGCTGGGATTACAGGCGTGAGCCACCGCACCCAGCCTAAAAACCACCAATTCTAAACCAGCTTCTGTGACCCACATCTGTGTTTTCTCCTTTAACCTTGGGAGCAAAGGGGCAGGAGCCGGGACATAAGCCTCAAGCTACAGATGAGGAAACCAAGGCTGGTGATGGTTTCTGCCCTTGACCTACCACAAGACCCCCTCTTCTACAGAAACGGGGACCTGTGAGAAGACTGGTGAGGACAGGTCTGGCAAAGCAGAGAGCACAGGTTCAGGAGGAACAGCAGTCTGGCCATCTTATCTCCCACTCACAAAAAGGGCAGATGAAAGGGTCACACACCAAGCAGCCGGCCCACACCCTCAGAGCCAGACCACAGCCCAAATGAGCTGGGCGCATAGGCCCTTGTGCCCATGCCCCAGCCCAGGCTACAGCCCCAGTGGGCACCCTCCCAGCCCCTCAGCTCACGGAAGGGAGACAACCCCATTGTGCCCCGAGGGAGAAGCAGCCGGGTGCCAGGTGCCCACATACTTGGCCCTCAGTCTAAAGGACTCAAACGCCAGAAAGCATTAGCACCGACAGCCTCAGTTGCTGGGCAGAAGGTCACCTCTCGGCAGGACGTTACAAAACTGGGCTTTAAGAAGCACCACTTTTCCCTCCTAATGGCTTTCCAGACCCTAGAGGGTAAATCCCACTGGGCTTGGCAGCATTTCCGTTTCCGCACATACAACTGTGGGTGCTCTGCCTGAGCGCATTCTTCTTCCAGACCGGGCCCTCGGGGTGGCCCGGAGGGAGGCTGCTGTCTGCTGGGTGAGGCAGCACCTTGCTAAACCACCCTGTCAGTCATCCACCACTGTAAGCACTTCTAGACTATGCGGCCTTCACATGCTCCATCCCGATCTCAGCAGGGGAGGAGGAGAAACTTCCAGAAACATTCCAGAATGGATAGGGTCCGTGCACAAATGAGCTGGAGCTCAGCCAGGCCATTCCACACGGCCACGAGGTGGGGGTCTCACCTAGAACCATGTCCCCCAGTGACAACTTCTGGGCTTTCCCTTTTCCCCAGGGCTTCCAGGAAACTCAGAGCTGCTTTCTGCAGTGCAAGGTAGATCCACCCTTCTTACTCTCACCCGGCTCCCCCAGGCTGGCAGGAAGAGCCCTGCAGTGGTGTGGGTAAGCGTGAAGGTCCGTCCCACAGCAAAGCCCAACAATGTCCATCAGCCTGACCACTCAGCCCATCCCCCACCTCAGGTGTCCCCTCTCCAACGATGGAACGTGAGATTCACCAGGAGCCAGAGATAACGTCAGATTGTCTGCAGCTGCGGGCCTCCCAGCACCAAAGCATCATCCGGAGTGACAGCCACGTGATCATGGGGATAACCTTGAATGTTCCCATTCATTCATTCATTCATTCTTGCTCTAATTCATTAAGAAAAGCAAAAGCACTCACTAAGCCAATGACCTTATCTGTTACAGGTGAGACAGGCCGTGGTGCACTCCTGGATGAACATGATGTGATCCAGCCATGTGTCCTGACAGCGAGGCTGCTTTCCCCTGTGCAGCCAAGCCCGGTTCCCATGTCTGTCCCCACACTCCCTTCACCCCTTCTCTGGCCAGGCCCACTGAGCCCCCGCCTGCAGTTTCACCCTCATGTCTTCTGCAGCCTGTCTCCTGTCCTAGCCCACCTCCCATGCCCTGTCACCTTCTCCTGGCCTGCCCCCCCGCATGGCTCAGGTGCCCCTCTGCTCCCACATCACCCTGTGCCTGGCGCATGTCTCTCCATCCTCCAGCGCCCTGCCTGCCTGCCCTACACTCATAGCCACAAATGTCTTGAGGGCAGGCTCTGTCTCCTGTCCTTGTATACCCCCAGCATCCATGCCAGCACGTGGCAGCCACAGAGCTGAGTGGAAAGAGTGTAAGCTTTGGAGCCAAACAGCCTTTGGCTCCAGCACTCTCTTGCTCTCTAACCCTGGGCAGGCGGCATCGTCTCTCTGAACCACAGCTTCCCCAGTGGGAGAACGGGGCTTGCACTATCTTCCCAGGATTGCTGAGAAGAGGGATGCACTTTATAAAGTTCCAAGCACACAGAAAGCTCTCTGTAAACTGGCTGGAGGATTAAACCATCGAAGGGGACTGACTTATCGCTGCTCATAAGAAATGGGGAAGACACAGCCGGGTGCTGGTGTGCGGAATCCCCCGCGGGTGAGCTGCGGCCCCAGAGCCTCCTTCCGACTCTGAGAAAGGAAAACACATGGGAGGGCAGGTTCCCATGGCCCTGGGAATTCTGCACCCAGAGCTGCAGAAATGGTTTGGAAATGCTTCCTGCTGGGGAGCCTGGGCACTGTGAACCTTAATCTCGGCAGGACAGTGAAAATCAAATGTGAAGTCCTTCGGTCTTCTGGAAACTTGGAAGTTAGCTCCCATGTTCTGAGCAGCCCCAGAGCTGGAACTCTGCAAAGCAGAGCCGTCTGGGGGCTGTGCCCGAGGGAAGCTGAGCTCACCCCATCATTAGCCAAGGGAGAGCTCCTGCACAGCCCCATCAGAGTTCACGAAGAGCCGAGCAGGGACCATGGCCAGGCTGGATGGTGACGAGGCAGAGGCATGGGGAGGGGGCCTGAGAAGTGGACGATCATCCTCACTATAACACTCACCAATCAACTGCCAGGCCCTGACCCACATGGGCCTACAGACAAGGCCCCTCTCATTCACCGGCTCTCACCCCTCGACCCCTTCCATTCATTCTGCTATCATCCTGCCTGGGCTCCACATGGAATTAAGAACAGAGGAAGCTGAAAAGCGTCAAGTCACCAGTGACATGAACATAAATGTTAAGGTGTCCCTGTTCCCACCCAGGCTGTGCTGCACCCACCACAAACCAGTGTGCGGCCAGCTCCTCACAGGGCTCAGTGGCCTCCACGCCCTCCTGCCCACTGCTCTCACCCACGGGTCCTGGGCCCTGGGTTCTGGCATTAGGCTCAGTCCTGGCAGCCTCCAACACTGTTCTTTCTTGCTCCTCCTGAATTAAAACCTCCTTTGGGGGCCAGAGATGGTGTCTTCCTCCTCTCACTGTCCATGTCGCACCTGCCCATGTCCAGCACAAACATCATGGCTCAGTAAGCACCGGTTAAACAGAGCCAGGGGAAGGGGCCCGATCAGCAAGACCACTCTTGACATGCAAAGGCTGCTGGGGCAGGATCCTCTGCCCCCACAAACAAGCCTCCTCCTCCTCCATCATCCCAGGGGATGGAGGCAGTGACCCCCAGGAAAATCCTTAGGGGTCAGAGCCCACCCACACAAAATACGGGGCTCGTTAGAATTTCGGCAAAAGCCAGGGATGAGCTGGGGGTCGGGGAGTGGCTGAGGCTACAGAACTGCGTTTCTTAGCCTTGGAGGTATGCCTCGATTTCCCTGGTGGGCTCAGCACTGGCTACCTCCCACCCATTCGAGGAAAACTGAGCTTCAGGAAGAGGGGCCTGGCATCATGGCTCCAGATGCCAACAAAAGTACTATCAGCAGCAGGTTAAAGATGTGTGTAGCCCACACAAGAAAAGGTGTGTCATTAACTTGTGTTCCAAAGCAAGGGCACCGACCTCTTTACAAGCTTACCTTGGGACAGGGTGGGAACAGGTTCCCTCAAGCACAAAACTAACCCCACTCCCATCCCTCAGACATATCCTTTCCAAGACACATTCTGATTAGAAAGGAAGAAAAGTTGTCTCTGTCCCCTTTTAAATAAACAAGCTTGGCCAGGTGCGGTGGCTCACGCCTGTAATCCCAACAGGTTGAGGTGGGTGGATCATGAGGTCAGGAGTTCGAGACCAGCCTGACCAACATGGTGAAATCCCGTCTCTACTAAAAATACAAAAATAGCCAGGCATGGTGGTGCACGCCTGTAGTCTCAGCTACTTAGGAAGCTGAGGCAGAAGAATCACTTGAACCTGGGAAGCAGAGGTTGCAGTGAGCCAAGATCACACCACTGCACTCCAACCTGGGTAACAGAGCAAGACTCCGTCACAAAATAAAATAAACAAGCTTTTACTCTGGTTATGAAAATCAAGAAAGGCCAGTAAGGCAGGTACGGTGACCCAGGACAAGAGTACCTATGAGGTCCCTAGAGGACTTAAATCTGTACGGAATTTGTCAAAGACAGGAAGTAGAAGGATGGGTGCCAAAGGCTGGGGGAGGGAGGACAGGGAGTTAGTATTTAACAGTTTGGGAATATGAAAA